GTAACTACGCAATCCCGAAATAATCAAAAAAGAAGTCTAACGGGATTCAACAGAAACAGCTGATTCCGACCAGAGAAAAAGAGAACTAAGGGCGAAAATCGGTGGACATTTAGCTTCTCTACAGATGACTTTGAAGACTGTTATTGAGACTAAAGGGCATTAGTTAGGCAGTAGCGCCCAATATAAGATTAGCCGATCAGCTTCCGTGAAGAAGGTAGATGAAAGCGACTTTAATCGATTCGTTAGGGTCTGTTTCCTCTAACAGCTTCGAACAAACTTAGGATGCTGACTTCATATCCCCTACTGTCGATTGGTTGTGGGACGGATAAATAGAGTTTAACAAAGCGCATTGTCTCTAATACATTTGATTGTTGACAAAGGGCGGTAGCAGACACTAGTGGCTGGATTGGATACCTTTCGAAGCAATTATACCGCACACCAAATGCGCTTGGGATAGTAGCTTTGATTGTTGTTCTTAACGTCAAAATAAGTCAAAGGAGTTCATGAGAAACGTTGGAAAATCTGTCCTGTAAACAGTGCCTAAAAGGTGGACTTGAGTACCGAATTGGATCTGGTCGCCGATCTTTATGTTGGTAAGTAGGAGTAGCACGTTAGTACCTGTGGCAAAGCTTTGTTGTCATGCAATCACAAGCAGTTGTATACGGGCTGAAACAATGTGAAGTCGCCAGTACTTCGCATGCTGGAATTTGTGACCCGTGGGTTACAAATCAGAGGTCTGAATCACTCAGCCATTCGTCCACCCGATCTTTGTGGGAGCAGAAGCAATGAAAATTAAGTTGCATTTCAGTCCGGTAAGGGAATCATTGATTTGACAAAGCGTCGCAAAAGTGTTACACATGCAGAAACCCAATCATAGTCGTCCTCCTCGACCTAAACATTGCCTACAATTCAGTTGACTGTGCCTGTTAGTTGTAAGAAGTGGGTGAGGTTATTTCGATCTAATCCAAATTTTCCAAACCGAGACTACCGGGGCTAAGTAGGGAAGATATACGGGAATTTCTCCTCTGGACGCACCGCAACAAACAGGGTGTGTTGCAGTTACCCCATATTTAAGGTGGTGGTCAGAGTGTCCGCTGAGTTTGGCAGTTTTGCTGCAAAGGTTTTATCGCCATCCGTGACATCATCAACGTAAGACTATACCACGGCAAGAAAAGTTAACGCGGAAGTGCTATCAAATAACCAAATAAAATCCTAGAACAAGCGGACGGTTTGCTGACCTTATGGCCAAAGCCTTATCTTCAAAAAGTGCTGTTAGACTGGTTCATAGCGTTGAATGCTTTGACACCATCAAAACGTAAGTGCAGTGCTGTGAGACAAGGCAGATGTATTAACAGAGCAATCGACCGGTTCGTTTAACTGGATAACTGTGTCACCTCTGCTGGTAAAATTAGCTAGTGGGTCGCTGTACTCACCAATACCTGCGATATTTATTCATCATAAGAAAGATGGGATATCAGCTTATTTGCTAGAGGCAGTGTACAGCGTCGCATTAGAGTAATGTTATCGTCCAAATAAAACATGGCGGGAATGAAATAAAAGGTCGGTAATCCTGCGTAGTCGGTGTTTGTGGAGCACCGGTGAACGATGCGGATGTTCGCTGGTGAGTGCCAATCAAGCAAAACTACGGTGCCAGACTGTTACAGGACTTAGAGCCCTCTATATTGCGCATGGCATGACCTCTGAATGTTCACCGTCAGGTCAATGAGTTGGGTATTGTTAGTAGATAGTGCGCCTAGTTTAGTGAAACTTGGAAGTGCCTGACCAGCTACAGTGAAAAGCACAAAGGAATTGACAGAAAACTGATCAAAGTGCCTTCATGAATGGAGGTCTAGGAATTGGAGAAAACAGTGGAAAAAGGCTTCGTGATTTGATGCAGGCGTTTTGCACTCGAGCCGATAATCAATTTTTTCTTATCCTGATTAATTAATTATTTCCGCGGAGTGTTTAAGCTAGAAGAATGAGTGCGATCTAGCGAGATTTGCCAACGGGTTAGGTGAAGTGACTCCATCGCAGGGTGTATTCGGAGAGTCGATAACGTACAGGTTTCTCAAGCGAGTACTGGCTGATCTCAAATAGGTCACATTATAAGCAGACTCAGATTCAGATCACGCATTGGTCTGTGCGAACATGTGCACGCGATTCGACGAACGTCCGGAGCCTAGCTGATCAGTCGACTTAGCTGAGCTATCAACCTTCAATGACAAACAAATTAGTCTGAGTTCCGCTTACTGACATTGAAAACCACTGGAGCTTCTTGCAGCCCATAATGCTAAATTCGGGCCAGTCAGCTTCTGGGTTGACTAATCACCCCTCGAAGGTTTGTATCTCTGTGCGCTCGCTGGCAGTGTTAGACCACAAGGAAATTCGCTGCACTGCCAGTCGACAACGTAAATGAAGCCAGCGCGGTGATCGAAAAGTTCAGTGGTCTCCATGTCCCCTGGAGATGGAGGACGTCCATCTCACTGGAAATAGTAGTAGGCCGTTCCAGCTTATTCGGACCACTGGATACAGGAGGTTTGGTATTTGCTAAGTCATCAAAGAGGCGGGTGGGAAGCAGTTCACTAACTTGCAAAGACCCATGGACATTTCTGATTGAAGTTGATTTGCTCCTCACCGTCTACCGTTGCACTCAGAGCACCCACTCGTGTGCCACAAGTAGTGTCACTAGAACTCCTCATCGAAGCGGGAGTTTGTCTTGAGACAAGGCTAAAAGCGTGCAAAACTGCCGGATTAGACGAATCCCCCCAAAACTAGCAGTGTATGGTGGTAAAGCAATTGTCAATCTGCTAACGTCCCAGTTTTTGTAGATCTGGCAACAAGAAGGGGTCAGATGCTTATGGGCAGTCAATAATTGTTCCAATCCCCAAGTAAGGTCAACGTGCTTCATGAACCAATCTGAGAGGAAGCAGTCTGACATCGGCTGCCTCCAAGCCGCAGACGAAACCCAACTTGTGAAGTTCCCTACCGAGGATGTGTGGATTAAAAATTCACGATTCCTCAGCTCGTAGATCGCTACCTCAACCGCAGATCGACCATACTTGTGTTCCTGAATATTTGGGCTGCATTCGACTTAGGTGACCCATCTGTTTATACCATTACATGCTAAAGAACGGAGTTTCCGAAAATTACATCAATATGCTTTTGGGCGCAATATCTCAGCTTACGACAAGATATCAGTACTCTTCCGTGTCATGTGTGGGATGTGATAAGGATGCCCTGTCTCCGTTTCTCTTCAACTTTGCGATCATGATATCCTGTACGGAGCTTTAGAAGGCCTGCAGTTTTAGCATCGAGTCCCTCCAAGCCAGCCGGTGGCCGAAAGGACAAAGCGTCTACCTTGCAACCCGGACCTCACCGGTTCGAGCCTGCATAGCTGACCGGGTGACCCACACAGTACCCTTAGCCCACGCACGACTAGTGGTGTTTGCGTGGCAGCGAAGTGTCAGAAATGCTGTGTTTTTGTCCTCCTAGTCAATCGCGCAACCGACTTAAGTTATGCTGATGATAACGTCTTGTTCGGTGACAACTTTCATGGCATGCGATTGATCCTTGGCCGATTGATAGTTGAAGTGTCTAAGCATTTTATGAGTTTTGTGTCCTCCAAATGCAAAGCGGTTACCGGATTAACAGACACCCCTTCCTCAGATCACCATCAGAAGCCCAAAACTCGAACAGGTGAGCCTTTTTTCGATTCAAGAAGCTGCGTTTCCGCAGGAAGACACCATTGGTAAGGAGGTATCCTTTCGCATCGTCAAAGCACGTCGGCTTTTGCCAACTTGAGACATTTGTAACGTCTTATCGGAATGTAGCTCTAGTTAAGGGGTAGGGCATACTGTGTCTGTGTTCGCTCAATACTGTTGCATGGATGAGAATCCGGACCGATCCGTAGGTGGTGTGAGTACCGAAAGCGGAACGATGATGTCAGACATTGTCTTAGGAAAAATGGATCCTCCCTTCTATGAGTTTATTTTGCCGCACCTACTGAGATGGTTTGGCGCCTTCCTGTGCGTACCTAGCCAGTGTTTACCACGCCGCATCCTGTTTGCGTACACAGGGCTGCAATGAAAAAGGCCCAGTAGAGGTCAGTAGACCATTCGGTGACAAAACATGAAAGCAATGATATGTAGTCTAGACAACACTGGCAAGGCACGTCTTCACTACTGGAGACCCGACGATGAAGAATACCTATGGCATAAAACACCTGAAACAATGGCGCAAAACTGATTACATTGGAAACAAGGTGCGCAATTTTGCGTGAAGTCACGAGTTCGGGAACACTAAGTTAAAAGTCACCAAGAAGGTACATGTGAAAACATATCGATATTCCTGGTTCCTCCTCATCGTTGGCTCGTTCTTTTACGCGTGCTTCTTATCTCAATGTGCTTGATTTCTAATCAGATGTCTTTGATCAGGTTGATGTCTACTCTGTAGACTGAGGAGTAGGATACTTATACCTATATGTAGATTAGTTCGGTCCTGTCTCGTTCGGCCGAGCTAAATAAGAGCGCTCGGACAGCAGTAGATAAGAATGAATCTGCGAAATCGTCATTTTAAATTCCAGCAATCCCGAGTATAAACAAAAAAAACAAATCGGGACAAAATATGTCCGCCGAAATGTTAGACACTGCAAGTTGCGCTGTCATTTCGAGGCCACCAAGTGCCGCCAGCGAGTGAAATGATTCCAGACTGTCTAAGAAGAAGTATGAAACGGATAAAGCGATACCGAACCGTTAAACGAGGTTACACTGAATACGCGGTAACGATACATACTACGATCAGTGTATAAAGCAAGGTGGTTGGCATTCACTGTATATACTTGCCCCAGCAGGAAAAAAGTGACATCCGCTGTCCTGAGTGAGATGAAATTGTATACGTATCAAGTACAATGTATGGAAATGATGCCATTGATATAATGTAGCCCCAGGACAAACAGAAACGAAAGTTGTTGGCGTATAGTAAGGTGAAACAGATTGACTGACCTTGTATTCATCCAGCTTGGAATGATGAGCAAAGTGTATGGTTGCATCATAGAAGTGATAGAACCGGCTTCTGGTACCAGATTTGAAAAGATTGCTCGTAATGAGGCTGGATATAAAATTTTTCCCGACCCCAGTATAGCCATGAAATGATAACACAAGAGCCTTTGAAGGGTGAGGATCCAGCATATGAGCGGATATATGATGAAAAACTCGCTCCGTTGCAATATGCTGTCCATGGAGTAGGTGGTTCAGCGAGTAATTCAAACCAGTTTGATTAAACCAAATCGCTTGGGAACAACATTCTCTCATAAGGCACTCAAGCCAATCCTTCGCCAGAAAAGCCACCAAAGCACCAGTAAGGGGAATCAAAGAGATGAATGGGAAGGCCAGGGATTCATGGATTAAGGATAGGCACAAAAAGTGGAACAAGACGGATGCAATATGCATTCAATGTTAATCATAACCGATCCAAAGAACAGCCTCGACGAACTGGGTTGTTCTGGAAGTCAGGGAAGAAAGAACAAGTGAAATAACATTAATGTAGCCCGTGAAACCTCGAGTTGATAATTGTTAATTTAAAGAGACGACCATGGATTCTGTGGTCACCTATGGTCATCGGAAGGTCATTTTTAAGCAAAATTTAAGCACAATGAGACTTTTACTCATGTAGTTTAGGATATACTCACGGAAATTATAACGTCTAACAAACGAGTGAATAAAATGGTCAGATGGTTTGCAGCAGATTAAGGTGTGAGAAGAAAGGTCCACTGGCGGTGATCCAATGGCACTGTTGAGTGTCTTGAAATCAACCAGTAGAGATGACCAACTGCTCATCAGAACGAACCGTATCACGGGGGACAACAGAAAGTAAAATTAATCTGGTGTTATGAGGACAACACAAGGTGTTGTTACGTGTTACTAAAAGTTGTAGACCCATCCCGTCCGAGGCTAAGCCGAAGTGTCGATCTTGGAATGATGTCGGTCGACCGTTTATGTGGTCGGATAGTGCAAATCTGACCACATGTTCAAGTGGTACTGCAGTGGCGTTTCCAACCAGTAGAAAGGGTACCCAGCACCAACCTAGCGAAGCTTGCGTTGGCAAGCCGGCCGAGTCTTATTGAGTGTGGAGATATCAGTGCCGCAGCGACCGAGTTAGATTATGTGCAGAAAAAGCAAAGTAGATGGAGTGCTACGCCGAAATCAGCCAAGATAGAGTTCTGTCGCTACTTGAAGGCAGTGTATGAACTCACTTTGTGGCCGCTGTTTCGGGTGCTGCCTGCACACAGCCTGCATACATTAGGCAGATATGGTGAAAGCACTCTAAATCGCTCTTGAATAATCATTCAGAGATTAACTGGGCTACCTTGCACGGACTACGACAATAAGAGTAGAACAAGAGTACTGCCGACACCCAGACACGCAATGAGACTCCGAGAGCACTCGCAAAGCTGCAAAACAGCAAATGCACCGAGACCGACGGGATACCGTCAGAAGCGCTGAAAAACGGCGGACCCGTGCTGCTAAACGCGCTGCAGCACTTGACGGAACGAGTTTGCTTTGGAAAGCAGGTGTCAGCTGAGCTGAAGGATGTCCTTGTTTTACCACTGTAAAGGACAAAGGGAGCAAGCAATTTTTCAACGCGACTTGCTCTAAGTTGCGCCAGAAAGGTGATGCGGGAATTTTCTGGCCGTAACATGATAGACATGGTTTTCTCTGCTCGTAAGTCGCATGCGAAATACCATGAGCGAAATAAACCATTGTACGCTCTGTATGTCAACTTCACGGGTATTTGACGAGGTGAACCGCGAGACACTGTGACTGGTGTTAGTTAAGTTTGGTTGCCCAGGTAAGCTCGTAAGTCTTAATGAATGCCCTCACCGTGGTATGCGAGCGAGGGTGGAGCCGTGTGAACAAACCTGGGATGACTTTGATGTTGTCTTCGGTGTGAAGCAACGTTGTGTCGTAGCCCCTTACTGTTTAATATTTACTTAACTTCTATGAAGTCCTATGGTTTTAATGCTTGTGAATACAGTGTTAGTCTCTAGAGCCTAACCGTGTTCTTCGCGCCATGCAGCCGCACCATTTCAGAGCTCGCACTTTTTCGTGGATAAATCCTCATTATCTCGCTGCTCATCATCGAGTTTACACTAATTACACTGGGATTCATCAGCTCTACAAAGTGGATGTCAAATTGTCGGATTCTTCTTGGATGGATTTGTTACCGAAATTCACATGCAGAAATATTTCATTTTTCGTTTTATTCTCACTCTAAAGTTTGTTCCAGGCTGTACGAATAGCCTAAACTCGTGGTCGTCCAACATGTGTTTGATCGATACACCATATTTTACATTCTCCAGTTCACTGCCGTCCTTCCAATATCTGACCCCGTAAAGCAACTAATTTTGAGGTTTCTACTGCAACCACCATTGATCGGAAATCGACGCACGGTTAATTCCCGCTTTGTGTGACTAGCGTATGTCAGGTCTAGCAGCAACCCGTGTACCCGGTTCAGAGAACCCGCCGTGTAACCTCATGTGTGTGCGCTTGTGCGTGTATGTAGACAACTGCCAACACGATCTCTGGGCCTAGATAGAGCTAGATACGACGCAAAACCAAGTTCAAGGTATAGCCAAACCTAGCGAGACGCAGTCGAAGAGCATTTGTAGTTAAGGAAAACTGTACAAACGGGTGTTTTGCGTTCTGGATGCAGTAAATAGTATCATGCCAAGCTACTTTTGGCTCTGCATTTACTGCATGGATGTCCCACTTGTCAGTTGCAAATCTATTTTGGCACAGAAAAGCGATAACCTAGCGGCGATGGTTGAGAGATCTAGACTTAATAAATGTTCGCCTCGGATTCAATCTCAGCCGAGCTCGTAGCCCAAGGTCCCGCAGTGGAACATAGTGGTCGAACCAGTGGTAAGGGTAAAACCATGAGACTAGATATCCAGACAAATCCAATTTGAACTCTAGCAGACAAGCAAGTTCCACCTACTACGGCAAATCGCATCATGGCCCAAGCTATATTGCATGAGAACAAATCTGTGGAGCGAGCGATACTAGCACACGGGAACACATGCGTTACCGCTAAAGACAGCTACATATGCGTCCATTGCTGCTGCCAAAGAACCAACAACAAATTCAATGGCTACAGCTGAAGCAATCACACAGTGCGCCAGAAGTGTCAGATATACACCTATCACCCCAGTAAGAACTCAGATGACATCTCGGCAAAAACCGGTTAAGCCTAACAATGACAAACAACAACAGTAGTACATCAGCCATTGTAACATGCTTCGCTGCCATACAACCATGATGAGCTGGGAGATAGAGAATAATAAGAGGAAGAGAAAGCGGACCTGGAGTAAAACCTTTATTCCCTAAGCAAACATGCAGGGTCAAGGCGCCTACACCTTGTGTAGATAACATACCGTCACAAACAGCTGGCTATCGTGCAAAGATAAGGCGGCATCGGCGAGACAGCTTCTTTGCGGCTTTCACTGCCACGCGTCATAATCAGCCATTACTCCGTAGATAACCCAGCGCCAAACACACTTTAAACAGGCAATCCGACTAGGAGACGGCAGCAGACGCGCCAATGGTGTCGGTTGCGAGCCATGTCCTGTAAAGTCCCGAGCCAAGCACAAGGCGAACCACGTGGACTCCAACCCGGAAGGCGAGACAGACCAATGGCACTCAGTTTGATTGTCAGTGACTTCATTTCCCGCTGCCAAGTCAACTTCTGTCGACCTAGAGTCTTGCGCCACCCTACACCTCGCAAACTAAACAAGGCCCTCCTAGGTAAGCTGTGACCAGGCATACGTGACACGTGCCCAAGCCAACGCAACTTATTCAGTGCTATCTGTTGTTCTAGGGAGTTAGCATGATTATCACTACCTAGTATTCGCCTACGCACTATACAGGATTGATTGTGCTGCCGCAACCTCGTCGAAAAGCAAGACGATATCGTCCGCATAATCAAGATCAACTAAGCTTTCACCAGGCAGCACTTCAACGCCTACGTCGTGAGATTCCGCAAGGGAACACTCCATGATAGAGTCCACGACGAAAGTGAACAAAAATGGGGAAATCGGACAACTCTGGCAGATGCCACTTGTGGTCGGAAAGCTATCCGACAGGTCACCGTAGACTCTGACGCGGCCTGTAGTGTTCGAGTAGAGAGCGCGTAGAATGTTCGCATATTTCGTGGAAACACCTATCCGCGCAAGTATTTCGAACAGAATCGATCGATTGACCGAATCGAACGCACCCTTAAAATCGAGGCGCACAGCCATTGTCGGTCTAAGGCATGCGTGGTACTGCCCGAAAATCTGCCGCAGTGAATATATCGTCTATACAGCCAAGTCCTGGACGGGAACATGCCTGCTCTTCCCTAATCGGAGAGGTTACTCCTAAATGAGCCCACGAGTCGTTGAAGATCTATGTCCCAGTGTTCCTGAATTTAACGTGAACTCCACAAAAGATTAGCTGCTGGAGTCCAAGCTAAACCGGCTAGCACAGTGCCCGTCGTACGGCGGCCAAACTAGGCCCACCATGGGGAACCACGGCTGTGACCAGTGACGCTACAATCAGCAAACGATATTGAGGCGGTTCTTTTGTCAGCCATCCGCCTTCGGACTGACATGCGGCGTTGGGATTTTCCCCGACGTCCCTTGGAGCAAGCGTCAGCAGGAAAAAACAACCCTGATGACCACTATCATCTGAAAAAGGAAAAAAAGTAAGTCTTTATTCGTGGTATACAAGAACTTAAAGCCTTTGGTGAACGTGAAGCTCAAGCTCATATTTGGGAGAAACTGTGCTACCTTCGTCCGGTGCTCTCACTCGAAGTGATCATAAGACTACCATCATTAGCAAAGTACGAAGTGTGTGGCTCTAAGGTTATGAAAGCTTTGTTCCAATACAAACAAGGCATAAAATGCACTTGAAACGTGGCTTAAGTGGCGTAACAACCTCCCCTCAGAGGTAGGAATAAAACCGGTCAGCATCGAATCCCAAACGACCGAGAGACAGCAGTCTGCCCGGAATGAAAGTGACTCCAATTAGTTCTATTTCCGAAACAGATAACTGCGAAGCACAACCATCTGTTGAATGGGCAGTGATTTTCCCAATACTTATTGAAACGTAAACTTCATCCTGCGATCATTTTACCGGTCAATATGAAGTGGCTCAAAATTGAGTGTCAGCAGTTCCCCAAAAAGCAATCAGTCACAGACCTCACATGGGTCGGCGAAAGCACGCACCTGTCACTCGCATCCTCAGAACCACTTCTAACTTTCGAAGCACTCTCCTGTATGCATTTGAATGCTCAAAGCCACTTTAACAAATTATCCGAGCTTCAATCTCGCCAAGCGTCGATTCCCATTGACCGTTAGCCTATCGCACCAGAAGCACGAGTAACCTTTGAATGCAAGTTCCTGGGTGTATAACTCTGAATGCAGCCATGTTTCTGCTAGTCCCACTACGCCTGGCCGCTCAGACA